GTGAGTACGCGTGTGAGGAGCGTATCACCTTTTTTTGTAACCACGAGTTAAGTGAGTGCGAGCCTAGTCGGAGACGATAGGCACTACTGCCATGAAGACGAGCCGGGGCCAATGCTAACACGGCGAGAGATGGCTTCGAGAACTTGATAAGATCCGGCTAAGCTGGGTCACGAACGACGCTAGTAGAGACGTCTACTGGCTTGTCCGTGGGCGCTCCTCAGCCCCTTCACTTGAAAATGGGGTGATAACTCTTAATTGTAAGTACCCCGTTTACTTTGTAAAAAACAGCGGCCCTCAAATGATCTCATGTGCGTCTGCCCGTGCTTGTTGAAAATTCGTACTTGTTCAATTTGTATTCTTATGATTCAATAAATGTTCGTTTCATCCAAAGCACTATGAATCTTCAATTATTAATGCATGTAATAATAATATGTGTGTGTGTCGTTCAACTTAATAGTCCCATGGCCCCGATACTATGCATGTCATTTGGTATTTAACTGCTCCACGTACACATAGCTGCTCTAAGTGGCCTTGAGGGGTAAGCCAGCAGAGCATGAGACGCTCAGGCCTGACTACAGTGACATAGGTAGGATTTGCAGGTCGTTCGATCTGCATAGTAAAAGAGAAGTGCCGTCGAGGGTTCCCGGGCCTGATAAGCCTGGTTGAAAATACCAATAGCAAGACAAATATTTCTTTCCACACAATATTTTCAATTTTTACATTATTTTCAGATTCTATTTGAACTGATATGTTATTTGGATGTTAATATCGGGACAAAGCTACGTACAACTGACCATGGGAAATCAATGGTTTTTTCTAAATATAAGCCAATTTTATCGAAACTTTGACCTTGTGGTTTATTTATGGTTATTAAAAAATGTCAAGACTAAAGGAAATTTTCTATATAAAGTAAATGGTAGAGAAGACGTATTTTTTGCATTTAAAGTTATTCTAGGAATAAAAACTTTATTTTCAATTTTTCTCCAGTAATGAGTTCTACTTCAATATTATATTTATATAACATTGGAATGTTTAGATGCACTCCATTAAATAAACCATCAGTTACACTTAAATTTCTTATTAACATTACTGCTGTACCTACTTTTAAGTTTAACTCATGAGGTGGGACTTTCTCTGATACTATTTACAATTTCTACGGGGAAGTTTGTATCAATATTATCATCAGTCTTATCTACCCCTTAGTGGCACTATGAATACTGTGATAAACATTTGCTTCTCCTGACATCTGATGTAATATCTTATTACTTCAAGGATAAATGTATTTATTGTGTGATGTTGAAGTTACTGTAATTACCGACGAATTAGTAAAACTACCTACAATTTTTGAACAAACACTTTTGGTTTTCCATTTTATTGGAATAATTTTATAAAAAAAATTGTTAACTGTCATGTACAATATGCATGTTGCATTCGATGTGGTCACACCATCCAAGCCACTAAGCGATAAGGGAGTGAGTAATCCCGAGAGCTGGAGTAGAAGGAAGGCCCTGAGGAGCGTCGCTTTCGATCGAGCCTCAAATTTGAGCGGTCGTGAGCTTAGACTTGGGCTACTTATTTCCTCGGTTGAGTTAATAAAGGTCTTGAGAAAAATTCCCCGTGTTCCTTTTATTTCGTATGCACCCCAAAACTATTATAATCCGGGCAACATTCTTTATTTTTAGTCAAAGATGTTATAGAGGCTGTTCTTAAATCGGATGCAATAGTTTTTGCCTCTTGTATTCTTGATAAATGTAGTCAAACTGTGAGTAGAGACATGAAATTTTACGACCCACAAGAGTTTGGGGATAAATTAGTGAGAATTTATTTGACGCATTTTGAACTTGCCCATGGGATTCCTTCTATTTATGAAGATGAAAGAAATGGTAAAGGAGCAAAATCACGTTATGACAAAGCTAAAAAAAGCTAACACTAAATTTGGCACAAAATCGCTCAATTAAATCATCACTTGCAGATGTTCTTACTTAATAATTTAATTAATTATCTAAGTGTCTTGTGAATAATGAGAAATCTTTTAATAGCTTCTTGGAATTTGTTAGCAAACAAAAGTTGTCAGCCACTTAAGCTGTAATAGCATTAAATTTTATAATACATAAATGTTATAAGAATTGTTTATGAGTAGATGTAGATTGACGAATTACTTTGTGCAACTAGTATTATTTTAACAAACCCTATGTATCCAAGAAATAATACGGGTTTTACAATAAAATTTTTTTAGTAATACACATTAACAATAAAAATGTTTTGTTAAAAAAAAAACTATAGCATACATTTTGTATTAAAGTTATTGCAAAATATAAATTGCAATAGTTACTTCAGTTTGTTCAATTTCATAGTATTATCTCAATTTATTATTGTTATTAATACAACTACTACGGATATTATTAAAGTCCAACTACTTGCTGAGTATTTAATTTCTTCATAGATGAAGATAATCTTTTAAATCCCTGATAAGTTAGTGGATTAGTAGTATGGGTGAAGTGACTCGTACTATGACAAATATCTTAGCCGGCCATTTAGATATGTATCTTTTTTAAATACTTCTTTAGCATTACTTATTTTCACTTTATCCCATATTTTCAATTTCAATTTCTTTTTTTATTTTTGTTGATCTAGATGTGCATTTTTTAAAAATCTTATTTTTATTAGCTAATGACACAACCTTAAGTTATATGGCTATTGTTCGATATTTTTTATTACTATAGGCCGTCCGAATTTTGGATAGAATATTAATCAAATAGCTGCAACGCAAGCTAATTTTTTTCCACATATCATGAGTACTAGATAAACTAGGCCGATACAAGCACACGGCGAATCCAGCACACATCCCCGGTCCCCCTCCCTGCCCACGTACGTGAGCGTGCGCAGACAGCCACGACTCTACACAAAGCGCTAGGGGTTGTGCCTGATGGCAGTCAGCAATCTCCCTACTAATCTCTGCACGTACTGAAAATTCCAACTTAAATGCACCATAAAAAATGGTATACTAAAATTTTTTGGAATATTTTTTTTTTTTAAATCTTACATAATCTCTTACGGAATATTTAAAAAAATTTTATGAGCTAAAACTGCAGAAGAATATTTTTAAAACGAATAAAAACGGTATGCTGGTATTACCGTGGTTGTGTACCTATTACCGTGTACGTATTACCGCGGATGTATCGGGTTATGTTTACGTACGCTCTCCGCGGAAATACGTACACAATCAGTTAATGAGCGCTTTGTACCAAATACCGTGGAAAATAATTATTTACTCAAAATATACACAAATATTTCTGTTTGAATTGCATCTACATCAACGTCATTTTAGATTATTAAAATTGAAAAATTATTTTATATGAAACATTTCTTATTTTGAGCAAGTAATCATCAGTTTTTCAATTTCCACGGTAATAGGGCAGAGCACGGAGATAGGTACACTTACCCCTACGCTTAGTTTATTGGGTACCAATTTTTTGTAGTCGGTCGGTCAGTCGGTCCCATATCGTGAGAAAGTACATTTTTATTCACTCTGTATATATATATAGGGGAGTCAGACGGTCTGACTCAGACCGACCAGCCAACCAACCGATCACAAAAAAAATACCCAAAACGACGTCTAATTTTCGTCCTGTTCTGAGCACATCCCAAATGATGCCATAGTGTAATCAATATAGATATACAAGACAGGGTATATCATATATACATGTTTACTTTTGGAATAACATAAAATACCTTGATATACTTTTTGTTTTGTTAAAAGAACAAGAACATACACTTCTAAACGTAGAATATAAAGAAACCTCATGGAGTCTTATTCAAAAAGAATTGCTGCGAGGTCAACACAAAATTTAAAATTATATACTTACATGATTTAATAATTGATAATGTGGTTTTTAGTATCCTCAACAAAATCCATTTTGAAAATTTTATCTAGCCATACTGCGATATTAAAACAGCCAAATGAATTTTAAAATTAGTAATCGTTTTGTGATGTCATATTTAATGTAAGATAAAAATGGTTGAGCGTGGTTAAAGTTTCCGTAACTTATCAAATTCTAAATTTTGAGAAATTTTTATTTAAAAAATGTAAGTCACTTAGGTTGCAAAATTGAAAATTTAAATGGCAAGTTTTTCACTTTTATGCCATATATCTTCGTGGAAAATAGATTTCAGATAACTTAGCCAGTTCTTATCTATAGATAATTAAATAACGAAAAAATTATCTACAGTTATTTTTGCAATACGATGCCCCAAAAAAAGTTATAAGCGAAATTCGAAGAAAAAAAATTGATTTTTACAATTTTTTTAATAACAAAAAATGGCTAGTAGTATGGTAAAATTAGCTAATAATCATATCGATATCCTGAAAATTTAGACTAGCTCAACAAAAATAGAGTAGTAGTTTCAATGCATGGTAACAAATTGACACAGAATTTAACAAGTAGAAATGTCAGTAACATTCCCCAAAAATGGCCCAAACACGTTTTTCGCATCTAGAAGAAATCGTTGTTATTCTAACATAACATACAAAATTCTCCTTTCAAAATTTGCAATAAACCTTTTCAGTTTTTCTGTTTGAATATATTTTCAAATGTAACAATATGTTTCCTACATTATTCCACCTATTATTATATTATTTTACTATTATCGTATGTAATTACAAAATATTTCAAGTATCACAAAAATTGACAAGAATAAGATGCTAGGCTTTAGTATTTATTTAATTGATTTATAAATACGTAACTTTTTCCCACTCCTAGTCAAATAATAAAATTTTCCTTACACAAGACTACAATGCAGAGCATGATAAAAACTAACTAGTCATTACTGAAAGGATGCAATAATAAGCTTCGTTTAAAATCACTTAATTAACTTAATAATATTGTAACTGATAATACAAATTATAAAAGTCAACGAATTTTGTTTATTTATTTTGTACACAAAATATGATAGTGTGTATAAAATGCTTAGATATAAAAATAATATAATCATGACGCTATTTTTCTTGTTAAAAGTTTAAGAATGATGTAATAAATAATCTGTTATTATTGAACTTTACCGAAACGAAATTTACTGTTTCTCATCTTTTGTATCTTCTTTCTTAAATCTAGCTGCTCGTCCTCCTTGCCAATCTTTGGCATTGTTGAATACAACACCAAGTGCACTTAGTATTAATTTTTCATCAATTCTTTTGTCTTTGGGCAAATTTGTGTTGTAAATTTCAAGGAGTGAATCTACAAAAACATTGTAAATTTAATGCTCAGTCGCATGGAAATGATTATTGATAACACAACACTTTACCTTCAAGTACAGAGTATAATTTAGTTTCCTTGAAAACCAATTTTCCAGGCTTAAGTCTTTGTGGAGTGTAGTCTTTAAGAATATCTTTTGAAATTAATTTTTTTACAACTTTAGTTAAATTTTCGCTTAACTCGATACTAAAATTAATTGTTGAATAAAGACATTTTTTCTAAAATGGAAATATCATGGTAAATATATTAATTATCATAGTACATTACGCACCAAGTAAGCGAGGTTTAAAATGTCCCGAATTTTACATGAATAAATGGTCAATGTGAAATGTAGAGCATTTCTTAACCTCCGAACGTGGTGCGTCTACAATTTTACGTCTCCCAGTACTCGGTTAGAAAAAAATTCCGCTTTCACTCATGGAGCACCAGTCACGTAAAATTATAAATAACTTTATCATGGAAAAATTCTGCTTACTAAATCCACTTTTAACGTGCTGCTATCACTGCCAACTTCTGTCAAGAATAGATCAAACTCTTCTCTAGTCCTTATAGGAAACTCATAATGGTTATACTTATTAATAAAGTGATTTAATGTTACAAGATTTTCTATTGTACAAAATGGATTTTTTTCAGTCGTCAATAATTTTACTTCTCCCACTTTGTTTTCCATCAATTCAATTTCTGATGTCATTTTATCATTTACGCATCGTTTTATTTCTGAAAAATATTTTTTCAAGGCATCTGAAACGTTAGTAACACAAATCAAACATAAATCAATCATTGAATCATTTTAAAAAAATTTGGTTTTATTATGCGGTTAATTAATTCTTACTTTCTAAATCGTTTTTCGTCAAAGGAGCAGTAGATGGCTTGATGTCTGTAAAATCAGTCTGCGTAGAAGTATTTCTGGAAATTTCATGTTTCCTTTGATTAATTTCATCATCATCCGGTTGAATTTCAGACTGAGAATCAAACTGCATTCCTAAAATTATACAGATAACAATTTTTTGATTTGATGACAAGCTTTCTTATTTTTAAAAAATGTTAATGTATAGAATACCGAATATAGAACGAGAATTTGCTGCGTCATTACTTGTATCTTCGTTCATTTGAGAATCTGAAAACAGAAACAATCATAAGAGTAAATAATTAAGTACACAACACACTACTACTCTTTAGTACGTTACAACTGTATTAAGGCATTTAAATAAAGAATAATTTAAATAATTCTAGCAAAAAAAATAACAGGCTGAGATGCCAAGCTTATATAAGTATTTGTGAAAAATTTTACAAGTTCAAAATAGTTGTAATTTAATAATAAAAAAAAAAAAAAAACAGACCATCCACTTGAGATTGCAAGTATATAACATTTTCAGGATGCAAATTTAATTTAACAACTTTTTGTGACTGTGACTCAAGTCCAATATAAACAAACTCTGATGGGTTGTGTTCATCCTCTGAATTTGACTTTTTTGTTCTGATTTTCACATCATATCTTCTATTTAATAAAGTTTTTGTTGATTCTGGCAGCTCTGGATGAAACTTTTTTAAACGCTTCAGCAGCAGATCAACTTTGGAGTGCTGAATCTTACATTCTACAACCCACTGCCTCAGTTCTTCTGCTACAGGAGGTGAAACAATATTTTCCTCTTCATCATAAGCATTGTACTCACAAAAATGTTCATTCCTAATATCACGCACATTACGCTGATCAATGATTGATTCCGTTTGTTCATCCAAAGTGTTGTGCACTTCTACAGAAACTTCTCCAGGGGAAGTTTCATACATACAATCGATGTGTTGTGTACAATTTTCTTCCGATTCCGACAAAACTATTTCTCCGTCCGCATCAAGTCTCGCGCGTTTCACTACTCGATACTTTCTGCCTCTTTGTCTATTTAGTAACAAAGATCGATTTGCTTTATCACACATCATTAAAACAGATGTTAACTGTCCAACTCTGCAGATGTTACGATATTTCATCTAACGATGCACTACACAAGGTAAAGCTGCCGTCACACGATACACGAAGCGCGATAGAGCTCCGCACCACAATTCTACGAGGCTGTTCGATAGGCGCTACAGTTTTACGCAGTCCCATTTAAGGGTGCGTTCCGTAAGCTCCAGCAGTTAGTCTTCAAGTATCTCGGTATCCTAGATGACGTTTAAGTGCAGCACAAGGGGAAAAGTATAACATGTTATCTCTCTCACACTAATAAGTTATCTACAAATTATTTAAATACTTAGATTAAACAGCCAGTGCTTACGGAACGCATCCTAAAACTTATAATGGTACTGTGTCGTCGGATCCATAGACAGATAAGAAAAAAACAAATAAAGACACGGTAGACGGTACACGGCACACGGCACACGGTTGGTGGCCCCTATACACTGCCATAAGAAATACAAAGACTGCTCGTTCCTGTGTACGCCGATAAAGCACAAGTAGAAAGAGACACAACATTGAGAGTGAGTATCTGTCTTTCTCGCACATTAAGGACGATCTCTGGGACCAGAGGTTCTCAATCAAAATTGATATAAGTTGAGAATCTCTTTTTCGTTGCATGAGCAGACGATGCGCAGACACAAAAAACTTGGCGACACTGCAACATCCCAATTAAAACTAGTCTCCCGGGTCCGTAACATATAACTATTTTTCTGTATACTGGCCTATGTTATAACACAGTTATATGGTACGGCCCCCGGCACGTATCAGGCCCACACGGAAGATTGTTGTTACCAGAAAAACAGGTACTATATGTTAGTACAAGTATTTTCGATACTCTGTACAAGAAAAGTGTGTACTGGTACAGGTATATTTGGTACGGTAGTATACTATAAAGTACCTTAGTGAGTATAGATAAACCTTATACTTAGTACGTCAAAATCCGATACGTGGTACGGGTTTTTCCTGTACCAATACAGAAAGTTAGTCGGTCAGTGGGAGCATTCAGAATGTCAGTAGTATATATATACGTAGCTGTGAAAGTTAAAGAGGTTAGGATTTCAGTATATCCACCACAACACAATATAAAGTTCAATACATTGATACGAATCTAACAAGATGTAATGATAAGTGCAGTAGGCACTTGTAGTCACTTTCCTGTTGCGTATAATAATTGGTTTTCACTCGCAAAGAACAATTTACATATTGAGCCAAAATAACAATGACAATCCCATACATGTATGCAAGTAT